GAGGGAGAAAGAATGAATGAACTAACAAGAAAAGGGGGTTTGATAGATGATTCAGAGGTTGTACTCAGTGACCAGCCATAGCCTGGAAGAAATCCTGGAGAGAGACGACTGGCTCGGTTGCACTGAGGACACAACACAACTGTAAGGGGTAGGGTCGGGATCAGCTGAGGAAGCAGCACAGAGCAAGGGCCCCCTTCAGTTTTTTTTGAAGTAAAGTTGTATGTGCTTGCCTGGGCAGCAGCCAGGTAGAAGAAGTGAAGGCTTTCTTCCTGTTCACAGTAACAATGATGATCCAGTTCTTCCCGTCCCGGCTCCCTGCCTACAGGGCTTGCCCACACACTAACACAACACCCTGGATGTAGCCATCACTTCCCACCTGAAAAGCACAGGATGGGACACAGCCAGGAACGCAACAAGGCAACAAAGCCTTTTCACACTAGTGCATTAATAAACGGCTCAATTCACGTACCTTTCAGTGGGTTGAAGAAGTTGAAAAATGACTCATTGGGCACTTGTTTAGTAATTGTTCTAACAGTACCCCGACCCTTATGCTTCTGTTTTTTCTTGATGGTTTTTACTGTAACATTTTTTCCTTTCTTCCAGTCAATAGTACACCTACGGGGTTGAGACAGCAGTTATGGACACACACTCTAGGAGAAAAATCAATTACAACGCATAGAGAAAGCAGCCTACGGTTCTATGCTTAACCTGGAAAATGTAAGAAAACCAATTTGCAAACCAAGTATTACAAGGCCTCTGAAGTGCATCTGAAGGATGGTGAGTAGGAAATGGCCGGATCCTCTATCATTTTAGGTGCCTTGGTTGTCTCAAGCCTTAGATTTCTTTAATAACTCTGGCATTATTTCCCCAGAAGCTCCACAAGGGCTCTGACGTATTTTCTGTGACAAGGCCACATCAAATCTGCACAGTGCACAAAAACTTGTCACCTGTTCTCTTGGAGACTAGAGCACACATGGAGTTACTCATGTACCTGAATCCCCAAGTCCACTAAATGAGCACACATGGAGTTACTCATGTACCTGAATCCCCAAGTCCACTAAATGAGTAGGGACCATGCAGTGCTGATAACCAACAGCATCCAAGATGCTTGCTTTCTGTTACCTTGGACACATGTGACCCCTAGCAGCAGCTGAACGGTGTCTGCTGAAGAACACTTGAAAAAGCCCTTCCTCACATGATGGCTTGGTCCTGGGAAATGATCTTGTTACATTACTCCAGCCATTCAAATCTAGCAAGATTTTAATAAAAGTCCCAGAATACTTATATGCAGAGATCTGCAACAATAAATAGTTGGCTCTAATGGACAGAAGTTTTGTTTTGCAGTGCTAGGGAAGGAACTTAAGGCCTAGTAAATGCTATCCAAGTGCTCTACTACTGAGCTATAAGGCTACCCTGAATAAGAGCCCTTTAATTCAAAGATTTCTCAAAAATCTAATTTAATTCTAATTTAATTCAAAGATTTCTCAACCATTTCTCAAAATCAAACCCAATGGGAATTAATTCCAAGCTAAATTTTCTCTCTGGTAGTCTACAGAGACTGAAATCAATGTGAGTTAAACAGCATATATGCTGCCAATTTTGAAAGCAATCACCTGGTCAATACTGACCTGCACTCATTCAACAAATACATTACTTGCATTTGAGAATTTTGACTTACAGTATTTAGAGAACCTAATACCTCACTCAACTAGAAACAGAGCACCAGCCCAAATATTCACATCTGAACAAGCTTCACCTCCCAGCTACGGTCACCATACCTGCACTACGTATGACCAACCTGAAAGCCTACTGCATTTAAATTTTTGCTGGGCTCTAAGGAAGGTTCAAGACCTTTTACATTTTTATTTCCTAACATTTTTACTTTAAAATTCCAGAATCATCATCTGCTTCTGTTGTAGAAATAGAAGCCAGAAAGATATTTTCTTACCCATCACAGTCCACAATTTCAGGACCTTCAAAGGAAAAGGGGTCAGCCTTGTCTGGCTCTGACTTCATCTTGTATGTTTTTGTCAGGACTGGATTGGTAAAGTAGTCATTGGGTTCAAAGTGGAACTCTAACACAAAAGACTGAAAGCAGAAAATGACAATAAGGACCACTTAAAATCTAAAAGCAACCAGTGACAAATGTCATAGGCCACACGGGCCTTTCTGGAAATCTGAATCCACAGTTCAGCCCATTCCCTTTCCCTCTTGGTCCCAGTCCCCACTGCTAGCAGAACTGTGGTTGCATTCTGTGCTATGAACTAAAAGCAGTGATTCCACATAGGAAGTGGGCAGGTGGGAGGAAAGGACAAAGCTCCCCAAGGGCGAAGTGGATCCTTACTACAAAGTAAAGATCTCTGCAGATTGCATCAAGACAAGGGTACACTGGGAAAGTGGACAAAGGATGCGTACAGAAAGTAGCAGCAGATGACACCAAATGGCTGGCAAAAGAAAACACATATCACATGAACAAGAAATGAAAGACATGGTCTACTTTAGGGGAAAAAATGTATAAAAATACTGCATAGGGCTGGTCAGCATTGTCTGATACTGGAAATACTCATATATTATAAAGAGATTTACAAAAGACAATGTGGCAATATAAAAAATTAATCAAATAAGAAAGTATATTCCCTGACCCAGTAAGTCAACTGAAGAATGTGAGAAAACTGGATGGACGTGTCAATATGGGTGAAGATTCACACCATGGTACTGCTTATAAACAGAAAAGGGAAAACAATCTCAGTTATCTATGGGGAATTCACAAGACTACAGACTGAAGTCAGATCCTGCCTGTGCCTGTAGGTGCTGTGTGATTCTAGGGACTGTCTCACCGTGTCTGTGCTGCCTCTCCATCAGCTGTCTTCAGGGTCAATCTACAGAAGTATGTAAAACAGAGCCTGGTCCAGGCAAGGCTAGCCAGACCACTGTAATGATAAAAATATTGGTGGGAGTACTTAAAAAGACTCAAAATAAATCTATACGTATGTACACACTTTAAAACCATGTCCCCAAGAGGAAGTGAAAAAAGAACTCTTGAGGAAAAGGTAGAAAGAAGAGGGGCAAGAGGGCGGAGGTTAGTGGTGGTGAACCTATTACACATGTGCCACAGTGGGCTATTTACTATCACTGGAAGCTCTAAAAGGTTCACCATCAGTGGGGCCTGGCCAGCAGCTCCTGTGACTCTCTCTGGAGCAGAGGGCAGGAACTTACAAACTCAAAGTTTAGCTTAGAAACCCCTCACAAGCCCCAACTTGCTACAACCAATCCACAGAGGAGAGAACAAGTGCGCTGGGGAGGGAGCTTGGGAAGTGGCCCGCAGAGGTGCTTAAGGCAGGGCTGTGTGGACAGCAGTCTGGGTGAGGCTGAACCTCACATGCATTATTATGCCTGATCTCTCACCATTCCTTACTTTCAAACAGGCAGAATTATTTATTTTCTCCTATTTCCTTCTACTACATTTCTTTAAACCACATTTCTTCGTATTTTCTTTTTTCCCCTCCCCTCGCCTTCATTCAGTCAAGTAACTCAAATGCATGTGGGGGAAACTGAAGGATCTGCTTAACCACCTAACCAAGGAGCAACTCCAGGGTAAGGCTGACCTATTCACACCGCTACACAGCCCCGTATACTGTCAACATGCCAATCAACAGACCCAATCTCAATAACTGAAGAATGGAAACTCAGCCTTATTTTTTCCCAGCAGAGTAGTTATGGTTGTTATTTCTGCCAATCTTTACACTGAGAAGACGAGGACACAGGTCCCTGACTGCGTAACACCTAGCTGGTCACAGCCAACTGACATGTAGGTCTGGGTGAAGGGCACATGATGAGCATTCTCAGTCACTTCAGCTTTGCTCTAGGTTATGGAATTATTTCAAACTAGAAAATGAAAAAAGACTTGCTAAAAAATATTAAAAAATATAACTAGCTAACGTGTGAATGGAACCACTATAGGTTCTCCTAACCGTTCACCACCTCTGATCCAGTCCCCAAAGAAATCTAAACTGAGAAAATATTAGCAATCTAGATACAGCGTAGGTGGAAGTATGCTGATCATAATGCAATGATCAGAATGGAGAGGTGGCAGAATACTTGAGGAATGTTAAGGAAGTTTCTTTTCTTGGTTTTTTTCTGGTACCGGGAATCGAACTCACGACCTTGCACTTGCCAGGCAGGCGCTGTGCCACTGAGCTAAACCCCCAGCCCCATGAGGAATGTTAAAGGAACCATTTACAGCTGACGGCCACAGTCACAATTGTTCCCCAGCCAGCCTGTGTGACATGACCCCATGCATGCTAGGTGTACAAGCAGGTGGCCTCTGGAGGGAGAGGACAGAGGATGGTTTTGCTTTTCTTTCTTTCTTAGATGTAATAACTTACACTTGATCTCAGCCAAAAGGCCAAGAAGCAATTAGATATAACTTAAAAAGGAAAGGCCATGGAGAAATTCATTAAGCTGTGTAAAGTTTTTCAAAGATGGCAATTTGTGTAGTATTGTCCATGTTTTTTGTTTGTCTGTTTTGTTTTTTTGTCTTTTTGAGACAGGGTCTGGCTATGCAGTTCAGGCTAGCCTTGAGTTCACTTTGTAGCCAGGCTAGCCTCGAACTCATAACAATCCTCCTGCTTCAGCCTCCCGAGTGCTGGGACTATAGGCGTGCACCACCACACCCAGCATATTGTCTATATTTGCCTGTTTTCTCTACATACTTTGTAATAAGCACCTGTGGGTTTTATATGAGGAAAGTAGGAGGAAATAGACAAGGTGACAGATTATAGATCACCACACTAGGCTCTAATGAGATGGAAGACATGATGAGTGGAGAAAGGAAGAAAACAGACCTAGGAAACCATCAAATGGGTGTCCAGTGAAAAAAAGGAAAGAGAAAAGGAATGACTTCAAGGGATCAAAAAAAAAAAACCACCAACTGAGTCTGGATAAGGTATGGCAGTGGGCTATGTAGACAGAAGGGCAGCCCTTGCCCATAAGCAGGCTTCACTCAAGGCTCTGCACTCTGAGATGCACAGGGAAGCAAACAGGTCCAGGCCCTGACTCCCAAGAGCCCTAAGTCACAGCTACTTCCACAGTATATGCCTCCAAGACCTGAAACTGAAAGCTATCAGTCAGTCATGTGTCACCGGAGTTCTCATACCACACATACACAGGCTGTCAGGTTGTGAACAGTGCTCCCTGACAGGACCAGGTAGGCCAAGATCTGTCACCAAGACTGAGAGGGGAAGGGGCTGGAAGGGGTCAAGCTCATTTTCCTAACTGCCAGGCAGACCCATTCTGATAACTGTACTTGTGTAATGATCACTTTGGAGAGATGCTACATGGCATTGTTTCTAGCCTAAACCCTAGATTTCTTTCCTCGGTGCTTCTGTGTAAGTGATGCTCATACTTGCACATGTACCCCCTATCTTTCTCTGCTCCATGGTGTTCAGGTAGGACATGGTGTGCTGTTCCTTGTCCAACTGTCTAGCTCAGGCTTCCAACCACACACTGAACGAAGCACAGAGAGGCAGCATGACATGAAGCCGGACTCCCAGGGAGCAGTCTCAGTCAAAGCTTTCCAGCAGCAACAGGGTTTGGATTTCCTGTCCTGGCTCCAGGTCTCTTAGCTGACCAGAAGCTCAGCTGGTACTCACCATAGGCTGTCCAGGGTCTGAAAATTTCACTTTAATATCCTGCAGATGTTTCAAGATTGGCTCATCATATTCCTAATAAAGAAAAATTCCAATGGGTTTTAAGAAAACAATCCACGTTTCATGTTAGTTGTATCCTCAAAGATACTAGAAAATCTGCCCTACTGAAATTTGTTCTCAAGTAAAAACTTCCAGGGCTGGGGATATAGCTCTGTGGCGCAAGCTCCTGTCTGACAAGTGCAAGTAAAAACTTCCAGGAAGCAACCCAAATTTATTCACAGACTATGTGTCTTTGGTAGTAATGATGTGCCAAGAATCAGGCACCATTTTTGGGAGGTGTTTTTCTTGAGACAGGGTCTCACTACATAGTTCAGGCTGGCCCTGAAATCACTATGTAGCCCAGGTTAGACTTGAACTTGTGGCAATCCTCCTGTCTGAGCCTCCTAAGTGGTGGAACTGCGGGCATGTGACACCATGCCCAACCACCATTTCTCTTTGTGAAGACATTCACACCATTTCTCTTTCTGGGACAATGATGACCATCAGTGCCAGCAATGGGGCACCTCCAGTACCTGCCCATCTCCAATAGGAGCAGCCTCACTGCTCTCCTGCAATCATGGCATATGGACAACAGAAATACCACTATTCAAGACTGCTGGCATACTGGGGGATGCAGCGCCCAGAAATCAGACACTGCTGGTCTTCACGGCATTTTCCACTTGTGGCAATAAATACCTCAAATCCCTAGCACAACCACTCCCTCAAGAACACTCACAATGCACATCTGAAGTTCCACTTGCAAGAGCTTAAGACTCCTGTATGTAGCTATATGCTTAAAATCAAGACTTTACCTGTCATTTCTAGAGTTCACAAGAGAAAAGCAGAAAATGAAAACTAAGACTTGTGACCACACGCTAATGACAGGTGCTTCATATATACCATGGAATCACTTTTTTACTACTGAAGTCTAGCACTGAGCCAAAGATTTTGTAAGGTTCCATTAAGTCTTAGCAGAGCATGATAATTGCAGACTTCCAAATTTTAAGTTCTTTTGACATTATATAAAGAAACAAAACCAGCAAAAGCAAAAAGACACCTAGCAACTTCTAGACAAAACCAAAACAAAACAACAAACCCCAAAGATAGTTTTAAAAGGAGCCACACTAGCAAGAGTGGTCACATGCTCAATATTAAGACCAGGTGGCACTGGGCTATGCCATGCATGTTGCCCCACCTGCTAGAAATGCCTAGCTCTCAACTGCCAACGTGAGTTTTGTTGTTGTTTTGTTTTGCAGTACTGTGGAACACAGGGACTTTGTACTGTGCTACTTCCCCACTCTTTGAGGTGAAGTCCGATGGTAAGTCACTTATGCTGAGTTCCAACTTGCAATCTTTTACCTCAGCCTCCCAGAATGCTAAGAATATAGTGTGCACCACCAAATCCAGCTCCAACATGAATGTTTTCACTGGTATGTCTTCCCCATGTATACAGTCCAATCCTGTTATCGTCCCCAAATTTATGAAACTACTGCTCCTTTCTTAGTTTCCCCAACCAACCAGGTACCGTGTGGGCTGACAGCCTTACACAGGGTAAGGCACAATTTGATGCCCACAAATCAGACACCACATGCATCTCAGAAACACAGATAATAAAGCTGCTATCTCCAATTTTCACATCTATACTTGCAGGAATCAATTCTGACTATGCCCAAGCAAGGAACTAAAGAGCCACCGGTCATTCTCATCTTTGGGATTTAACATGTAACCAAAGTGGAAACTACCTGCTATCACCTGCTATCAGGTTAAAAACAGTACAGATGACATTGCATCTCTCCTATTAATGAGAACTCTATAAATCCCAACAAAAACAAAGCATGGCTTAAATGAAGCACTGACACTAATACACATGTGGAGAAAATGAAAAAATACTCCCCACTAAAATATGATGACCTATACTACGGTTCTCAAAAGGCAAATATTCATGAAAAGCCTCTTCACACCTAAGCTGACGGACAGCTGACTGGGCAGGAGGGGGCAACCAGAAGTGAGCCATCCAACCCAGTCATCTAACTTGTATTGAAAATCTCATCTCTACAGCCCCTCTTCACTTAAAAGCATGCCCCCATCCAGCAATGTGGGCTACAAAACTCAGGACATGTGAGAAAGCAGATCCTCAGGGCCACTCAGACCAACAACCGATTTCGACAAGCATCCCACCCCATAAAGTCTCAAAAGAACTAAGCTGGGAGGCTCTGCTTTCCTGTCATGGGGTACATCAGGCTCACCTAGGGGCTGGGGATTTAGCTCAGCGGCAAAGCGCCTGCCTGGCAAGCGCAAGCTTGTGAGTTCGGTTCCCGGTACCGGAGAAAAACCAAAAAAAAAAAAAAAAAAAAAAAAAAAACATCAGGCTCACCCAAAGAGCTTTTAAGAACCTCAAGGTCTGTGGAGTACAGCTCAGTGGTAGAGTACTTGCTTATCATTCTCAAGGCCTTAGGTTCCATCCTCAGCAACACAAAATAACCAAAACAAAAACTGACTTGTTGGCAGTGGAGGAGGCAGTGATGTGTAATTTTTTAAGTATTTAGGTGACTCTTACAGTGAAGATAAGAACACAGTTCTCGCAGATACTGAAGTTTGGCAACAAGTATTTGGCACATAGCAATCTTAAAAAGTATGGCTCAGCCTTCTCTCATCCCGTATTTTCCACACACATGCAAAAAATCAGTCCCTGAAAAACAAGGCTGCTCTACTTTAGTGCCTCTCTGGATTGGAAAACAGAAATGTGCCACTCTTTCCATCCCTGAAGTTTCAGGTTAGGATGGAGGATGAGCAAGGTAGGAAGCACAAGCAGCAATGTGGTAAATTTCTGAACCATTAAAAATGTATTTGTTAAATCCTGTGCAAATCACAATAGAGCTGTTAGCAAGGGATAGCAGCTAAGCTCTGTGGCAAAAGCACTGTGCCAACAAAGGCACAGAACAGGAGCTGTCAAGACAAGCCTAAGAGCAGACATGGCCATCTTTGTAACTGCAGCAATAAAAACCCAGCACACAAGTTAGTCAATGAGACTTAGAAGGTCCTGCTTTTTGTCTCCTAGAAACACTGACTATAACTCTTTTCAGAAAAGTCAAACCTCACCTTTCAATTGGCTCGCTATTTCATTATAGAAAAGTAGACAAGAAAAGCTGGTGATTTTTCTTTCTTTTAGAACCTTTCAAGGGAAATGATCAGAAAATATTGGCAACATGTTACATTTTTCATGCAACAAGCCAGGCTGAACCAGAGTCCATTTCAAAAACACACTGAGTCATGAACATGTGTATGCACAGACACAGTGCGCCTCTCATCTGAAGGGACTCTTCCCCACGGCCCCGTCATCATGCTCACACCACAGGAAGACACAACAGGGATGAACCTGAGCAGATTCCTAAGGGTGAAGCAGGAGGCTTCTACAGGGGATAATGGGAATTAACTCTCAGGTTCTGGCTCCTGCCAGCCCAGCCCCAAGAACTGTGGGAGACTAGCAGTCCAGCCCCTCCAGCCAAAATCCCTTCCTTGGGGACCAGGACAATTGCCCAATGCTCTCTCATAGAAAGCACCTTCTCAGCGTAAAAGGACTCTCAGAATCAAGGTAAGCAGGGTGAATGAAACAACTTTACAAGACTGCCAGAAAGTCTCCTCAGGCAGTGGTCCACTCACCTGCACTAGCTCACTGAGCATATCCACGTTTCTAAAAATGGTGAACCAGAACTCAGGGATTCCTTTGGGATTCAGCTCTTCAGCTGCTGCTGCTTCTTTTTCTGCTATGACTACTTTATTTTTCATGTCTCCCTACAAAATAAACATGCAAAATAAAAGTTAGCATAAGAAACAAATTCTACAAATTGCTCAACAGCTTAATGGAGAATCTAATTTCAGAGTCCTGCACAAAGACCTTTCTCCTCCAAGCCACAGAGGAAAAAGCACTCAAGGGAGGTATAGTTCAAGGTAAAATTTTACATCAAGTAGAAAAAGCTAAATAAATAGCAAAATGTCACTAGGCTTGGAAAAAGCTATCCAGTGCTAAAATAGTGACTATCAGTCACTGGATGAGAATAAGAACTGTGTATCAGCCTATAGAAGTAACCACATCCACTGTTCAAATGGAAAAATTCAGTTCAAGGACAAATACACTTGACCTCTGTGCATGAAGCTCTTGGGTTTTATCCCCAGAATCACAAAATTAAAAAATAAAATAAAAGAAGCCAGCATGGTGGCACAGGCCTGTAATCCCAGAATCCAGGAGGCTGAAGGAGGAGGATCACTGTGAGTCTGAGGTTAGCCTGCGCTACCTGGTGAGTTTGAGGCTAGCCTGATTACAAAGTGAGACCTTGTCTCAAAACAAAACAAAACAAAACAAAACAAAACAAAAACAAAAAAAATCAAACCCCAAACCCCAACCCCCACAAAAAACAAAACTGACCTCTGGTTAAAATGTGTGTGTGTTGGGTGGAGTTTACCTTAAAAACATTTACTACAGCAGTATCTTCAGCAACAAGAAATTCCTTTCACCTTGGATGCCCAGCTACCAGGAGATAGCTGCATATGTATGTACACAAGTGCTGGGGCAGAGGCTGCCTCACACTATGCAGCCTCACAATACCACAGCCCCAAGGTGTAAACAAAGGGAGGTTAGACATAGTGTTAACAGAACTTGGTGAACTCCAAATGCTTTGTTTTGCCACACAGGGTTTGGCTAGGACGAAATGGTCACACAGGGTTTTTTCAACTAGCAAAGGCAGACTTTTCTTGAGTTTGGGATGGCTTCAACTAGGCTAGGTTCCACCTATTATTAAAAGGTTGAAATAAAAGTAACACATTTCAAAACAAAAACCTTGCAAGTTAACGCTAAAGGATAAAAACTATGAGACTGAGGTGATACTGGCAGAGGGTATATTGCTCAGTGGTAGAGCACTGTCCTAGTATTTGTGAGGCCTCAGTTCAATCTCTCACTCACACACACACGCACACACACACACACACAAACACACACAAATTTTACAGGCCAATAAAGTTAATCTTGAGATTTCCCTGCCGTTTCTCTGCTAACCTTTGCTTTCTTTGGACTAAGCCCATCGCTGGCACTGTAATTTATCTTGGCTCCTCTGACCCGTATTTCAACACAGTGCTACACAAGGACGACTGAGAAAGGGCTGTGTCCCATTCATCACAGGAACTGGCAGCCCCTTATCCGATGCCAGATAGTGTCACAGAGGATCTGTGTACCATGACCCAGGAGAAGAGCATCTACTACTGGCAGTACTATTCTTTGGGAAGTTTTATCTATGATTAAATTAAATGTTGTTTCTAACAACACAACTTTGATATATATATATACATTTTTTTCCTTTGTAGTATTGGGCATTAAGCCCATCACCTTCACACTGAGCTACTTTCCCAGCCCTTTTTAAATTTGGATAGAGGGTCTTGCTATGTTGCTAGGTTTCCCTAGCAACAAGGCTTGAACTTGCCTCTCAGTGTTGGGATCACAGGTACATGCCACTACCACATCCGGATTATACCCTTGACTTGTGTGGTGATTATGACGGCAATTATCTGTGTTCATTCACTGAGGTTTACATTTGTATTTTGTTATAATTTTTGTTTATTACGCATCTTAATTTTTAAGTTAAAGAAAAAAAAACCCTTACAGCCAACTTCTCCTCCTCTTCATTTTCACTGTGCCACTCTGATTCTGCATCTGTTGGCTCCACATCACCAGTGATGAATTCTCTTCTCTGTATAAACACAGGAACCATCAGAATTTTAAGTTATTTGGAAACTCAAGAGTAGATGGGTTTATAAATAATGTCTCTGAAAAGATGAGTCCTGGATAAACATAGTGTCTCACACAGAGGTGGAATTACAACACATTAAGCAAGAGAATCAACAGTGCTCCCCACCTTGTCGAACAGAGGTTGGTACAATGCTGCATACTTTCTCTCCAGGTCATGGACCTCTTCATAGAACTTGGCTTCTATGTGTGCACACCTAACTTGAAGCTGCTTCAGTGCATTAATTCTCCTCTTGACTGCTTTGGGTAATCTAGAAAAGGAAACAGGAAATAAAACATTCTTATGTCTGCAAATAAATGGCATGTTTTTCAACTTTATTAAATTTAACACAGGTTGGGGCTGGGGATTTAGCTCAGCGGCACAGCGCCTGCCTAGCAAGTGCAAGGTCGTGAGTTCAATTCCCGGTACCGGAAAAAAAAAAAGAAAAAAGAAAAAAATAAAATAAATTTAACACAGGTTAACATAGAATACCCTTACTATGAAGAAGAACTCCCGAAAAACCATTAAGAAAAGGATACAAGCTGGGCGTGGTGGCGCACACCTGTAATCCCAGCACTCAGGACGCTGAGGCAGGAGGATCGTTCCAAGTTCGAGACCAGCCTGGGCTACAAAGTGAGCTCAAGGCCAGCCTGAACTGCATATCAAGACCTTGTCTCAAAAAGACCAAAAAAAAAAAAACAAAAAAAAAAAGATAAACACCCTAACAGAAAAAAATGGGCTAAGGGAGGGACGTTGAAAAGATGATTCACAAAAAAAGAACACAAACTGTCAAACAGAAGTAAGGTGCAATCTCGGTATCTGGAAACATATAAATTTAAGAACTGTCATCTTTCCCTCACCAAACTGGCAATCAGAAACTAAGAAATATATAAACCACAACAAAACATGTAGAATTTGAAGAGGCTGAGAGCACCAAAGACCTCTGGTTGATTTTTTAAACAGCAGATGAGGCCCCTGAATATATTTTTTAGCTCCAGTAATTCTATTCTACTGCTAAGAATTTATCCTAAGGAAATAATTCAATATATATGTAGTGATGTCCACATTTGTATTACTATTATTACTATTATTAATAAACATGAAAAACCCCAAATGGTACAAAATGACTGGGATTCAAAGATGGCCTGTCCATAATACTGCTGTCTGGGGCTATTTAGTGTTCCTTGAAAGCCCCTATGTGAACACACAGAGATGTGAACTTTCTCTTCTAGTTAAATCAACTAAGACTTTCTTTCCCATTCTGTTTTGTTCTATATTTAAATTTTTGTTTTATTTATATGGACTACTCCTATAAATAAGAAAAAACAGACAGGGTCTCACTGTGTAGTTTAGGCTGGCCTTGAATTCACAGTGATCCTCCTGCCCCAGCCTCCCAAATGCTGGGATTACAGGCACCACCACACTGGCCTCTAAGAATAATTTTTAAGCCATGAAAGTTATTTAAAGTTCTTGGCACAGTCATGGGAAATAAACAAAATAAATCCCTAGACCTCATCACAGACCCAAATAATGCCCCTGGGGTGGGACCTGGTTCTTTATTTTGGAAGTATTCAAAACAACCAAATCCTTAAGTGCACATCTAGCAGCACTAGTTAGGTACTTTCCTGATCCTTGTATGGTCAACGTGGAATCAAAACATCCCAGGGCTGGACTTGGTGGCGCAGGCCTGCAATCCCAGCACTCAAGGGGGCCGAGACAACTGCTGCAAGCTCAAGACCAGGTTGGGGTACACAGTAAGTTCAAGGCCAGCCTGTTTCAAAAAAATAAAATAAAACCTATCCCACTTCCCTAGTTTCTCTCAGTGGATGCTATCCTACTTGCCCAGTTTCTAAAGCGAAAAACATCACCATATTCCATCAACTTAAGTCTGCAAAAAATACAGAAGCATCAAAAAATATGAGAGGCACCATGTGGCCTCTCTCATGGGTTTAATCCCTAGCATAAAACCAACCAACCAACCACTACCCATGAAGCAATGCCTACAGAACCCTTTCAGTGAAAAAGAAAAAATAAAACCAAATAACAAACCTCGTGTCCCCTCCCATTGTAACAGCTCTGGGAGACATCAGCAAGCCCTCAATGATATAACAATGCAAAAGCTGAATCACTGTGGGGACAAGCCCTGACCTGACTGCAGTTAGGAGGCCAGTACTGGCTCACCCCTTTCACAGAAGGAAGACAGGAAGGCCCCGAGAAGAGCTGTCTTAGGATCCCAGATAGGCATGTTATCACTGTTACCATGTTCACTGTTCAGGTCAATGAAGACACAGATCTCTCGCAAAAACCAAAGGTGTTGATGTTGCAGGCTCATGCAGGCAAACCAGGGACTGTTTTTTTGTGTTTTTTAAAAGATAACAGCTCATAAAATTAAGGCCTTTAGTGTCTCTTGACTACCCTTCTGGCTCTTCACAAAACTTTATAGGTCTCGAGAAAAATAACACACTGCCTGTGTCCTAGGGCTGTACTGAGCTCCACCAAACTCATCTGCAAAGGTGTTGCCTGCCCCTTGTTCCACAGGGAAATCCAACAGGTGGTCATACAAGGACCAGTTCAGGGAACCTGTGCTGAGTGTTAACTGGTACCCTTCCATCTAGATTTGATTATAGCCTGAAAGCTAACTTCCTTGATAGACAAAATGTCGCTTGGCCTCCTCTTTCTCTCCCTCAATCCTCTGCATAGTGATAGTCCAGTACAGGGCCCTCTTGCTATAACTATTTTATAGCTTCAACTATAAACTGGGAGTTGACATCAGGTTCCTGTTCTTCAATCTTCTATCCTTGTGAGGGCTTCTCCTGTGGTATGCTATTACTCCCAGACAACTTTCCACCCTAATTTAGCTTCTGTCCCAAGCTCCCAACCTCCAGGAATCTTTGGAAGGGAGAGGCTCTTAAACTTTCTTTTCGTCCTTTATTTCATCAATAAGGAATTCAATAATAGCTTTGTCGCTGGGCATGGTGGCAATCACTTGTAATCTCAGCACTCAGCACTTGTAATCTCAGAGGATGAGGTAGGAGGATTGTTGCAAGTTCAAGGCCAGCCTGAACTACATAATGAGACCCCATCTCAAGAACAACAAAAGCTTTGTTTCCTTCAGTCCATTATGGCATACCACCAGGAGAAGCCCTCACAAGGACAGAAGATGGAAGAACAGGAACCTGAACTGAGGTCAACTCCCAGTTTATAGTTGAAGTTCTAAAATGGTTACAGCAAGAGGGCCCTGTACGGGACTATCACTACCCAGTCCATTATGGCTACAGCTTCAGCTGCAGTCAGGGAGGCTGCAGGAGGCAGCTGTGTGTACACAGAGCAGCCCAAAGCACCTGAGCAGCAGGGTGGAGGGAAGTGGCATGGAGCCCAGCAAGTGCAAGATCCCAATGCCCAGGGCGTGGAGCATGCAGCACAAATGGGGCAGCATCATGTTGGTAACAGTAGAGGAAGAAAGTAGACGTACAAAGAATTAAGAAGTTCTTTTAGCCAAATTAGGAGGCCAGGCAACATTTTGATCTCCAGCCTGGGGAATAATTTGAGGGGAAGTAATGGTGTTGTGTCTTTCATGGTAATAAACTCTTAATGAGCTCAGCCTACTCCTCCCCACCACACCCAGCTCCTGGGATCTATGAAGTCCTCCAGCTGCCACCAGATGGCGCTGTGCACCACCTGGGAAAGCTCTACCTGTTCGCTACTCTTTGCCAAAGAACAGGGCAGCCTCTCATTTTTGGATGCCTGTGCTGGCTCTGTGCAGGCAACATCTGTGCAATGAAAAATAAATTTGCCAGGTGGAGTCATGTGCAAGTGTAAGCCCAGCTACTCAGGATGCCAAAGCAGTAGGATTCCAAGTTCAAATCCAACTTAGGAAGCTTAGTGAGACCAAGTCTCAAAAAAGAATGGAGGGGAGGAAGAGAGGTGCCTCTATTAGACCACTTCCTTAAGGTCCTGGGCTCAAGCCCCAATATATTGGGGGATGGGCTGAGTATGGTACGTGTCTGTAATCCCAGCACTCTTGGAGGCTGAGGTAAGAGGATCACAAATTCAAGCCCAGCCTGAGGGATTCAGCAACTTAGTGAGACTCTATCAAAATAAAAAGGGCTGGGAACGTAACTCAGTGCACAGGTCCTGGCTTCAATCCTCTGTACTACAAGCAAGCAAACCAACCAACCAACCAACCAACCAACCATGAACAAAGAAAGCATACTTATTTCTTATTCTGGGCAGTGAAAGCGGTTTACTTTCATTTTATTGCTCAAAGTGGGACGCAGCTTACTTACGTTTCAATATAGCTGGAAGGAGTGTGAGAGACATTGTCAAGTCGTTCCTGTAAAGCTGCCAGGACTTGTGGATTTTGCATCACCTGATCTGTGAGCTTTTCTATTAGGAGTTAGAAACAAGACCAGAAATATTTTACAGTGTATCTACCGCAGAACAGCCAAGGGTCAAAAATTGCTAACTTGTATCTGCTTAGCTACTAATTTATAAATATAGCAAGCAACTTCTTTAAAAAATATTTTTAAAACAGGTAAACTGTATTTTTACAAAGCATTTAACTGTCTTTGTAAATCACCTGATCCATCCGGTAGCTGGGAACACCTAGAGACTCTTGGTTCTTGCCTGTAGCTAAGTCTTGACCTCATGACTGAAGACATTATTACCTGCTGGGCTCAGGTGGTCTGTCTGCGATTACCTATCCCCTGCCCAAGCCCCACTGTGCTATCCAGAAGACAATGACAGGGATGAGCTCAGCTCATCTTGTGCCCTTCCTCTCTTCTTATTTCAGGAAGGCCACCTCACATCTCCACACTGTGCTTCGAAGTTTCTTTTGCTTGTGCTGCTCACCTCTAGCTATGATGGCCTTTTCCTCTCAAAACCACCTCCTTCAGGAAGCACTCCCTGACCACCCTGCCCCCTGACAGTTTACACACCTCTGTACTAGACTTATATGTAAGTAGTTTGTATTTAGGTGTTTCTCACAAACAACACTGAGAGGATAGAAACTGTCTTTCACTCATGTGCAGCAATGGAGTGAGCAGTATCTACCTGATTGATAGCAGACTCTGAAGTGTTTGTCAAACAACTTCTCTTGTAATGACCCAACACAGAAAGTCAAACATAGAGCCCTTCCCTTAGTCAGGAGGCAGTAATATTTGGGAGCTCTGACATGAGTGGATAAGCCAAATAGCAAATAAGCACTCAATTTGAATACAACCACTAATATGAAACACTGTGTATGCACATTAATGCATATATGAAACTGCATATATGTTAATTACTGCATGCATACACAAGCACATCTCTAGTTCTGTCCACTGAAAAAGTGACTTAGCATCTATATTCCAGTGTCTAGTTATTATTCTTTTCCAAAAGGAACGAGGTCTTTTGGATATAGTGGATACTGGGTTTGAGGTGCGGAAAACTCAAGGTGAAATGGAACATCACACTGTGCTACAAAAGCCAGAGGTATCTAAAACCTGACCAAGATGAGGATTTAAGAGGCCAGTCTGAAGGGACCCCAGCTGCCCAACCTGGACACCTCGACACACAACTGATAACACACTGAATAAAGTAATCCACAAGCCCACAGTGACACTGACAGGGGAGGTGTGCTCTTTATTGGTGATGTGTAACAGGACTGGTGGAACTGGAAAGGCATCCTTCTGCAACCAAGAACAATACTGAGTCTGGAAGAGTATCAATGAGTATGAAGAAGTGAAAGACAGGGGGGTAGCCACACCCCCCCAAAACTGCTTATAAGGTAAATGAAGTCTGATAGACACTATTTTAACTAAGTTGTCAATCTCAGAGTCCCTAGTAAAGGGTCAATCTGACGCACATGCCTCCTGCATCACCAGAAAATGCCCAGACAAAACCAGACTGTAGACATTCTATGCAACTGGCCCAGAGTAAAGGTAAAAATGGGGAGATGAAGCTAGAACAAAGAGATGTAACTAAGCACAACGTATGGTCACTGAATAGGTCTTAGACTTGGGTGTGGGATGAAAAGATTTGCCAAGAAAACTAGAGAAACATGGACATTAGATACTAGCACTGTACTAAGGTTAAGGTTCTTGCCTGTGCTGATGGCACTGTGGTTTTAAGTACTTACTCCACTTTTTAGGTGATTTACACTAGTTGTTTCAGGGGAAAAGGACATATACATAACTTGCTTTCAGACAGCTGGGGAGATACAGAAATACAGATTTCTTAATGAGGAAAAACATTTCACCTATGAATTTATGGATACAATAACGTATCCGGGATTTGCATCAAAACAAGCAGGGGAAAGAACATTAACAGGGCACAGAAGAGACCGCTCATGTGTTTTAATGCCCAAGCTGAGTGAGGACAGGTACAAGGAGGTATGCTATCTCCTTACTTTATAGAGTCTAAATTTCCTATTGTGACAGCCAATCTTGACGGTCAACTTTGATTAGGAGACTCCCAGAGGTGACTAGATTGTGTGAATGCTAAGCAGATCAATGTATTAACTCACTGATAAGTGCACAGCTGGATGGGCCAACAGGAGGGGGACCTCGATGGAGTAGGTCAGTGGGAATGTGCTTTTGAAGGGTGTATGTTCTCCCCAGCTCTTTCCCTGATCACTGCTTCTTGGTTGTCATCAGGTAAGCTGTTTTCCTCTGCAGCGCGGTTTCTGTGTTGGAGCCAGCCAACCCTGAACCAAAACCTCTAAAACCATAAGCCAAAATAAACTCTCCTTTCAGTTGTGCATGTCAGATATTTTGTCCCAGTGATGAGGGCACTGATACAGGTATCATAAGAACGTTTCTAAAACGGGATACTGATTTTCATCCTTAACTGTTTGAAGGACTGAAATTACTTATTGGTTTATTACTATAAGTACTCCAGAGAGGAGACTCCCTACCCTGTATGCAAACTCTCCAACTGTTAACTATTCCACAGAGAACTCACCTGTGTTACTTGCATTTTTAGCAGCTTCCACAGAATCTGCAGGAACCCCATCTGAAAAACTGAAAGAGTTTAAAAGTATTATCATAAAGTTCCACAAACAAAAGTTTAAGTGCCTACTTTTCTTGTTTCTTCAATATACCTTATTAAGAAGGGTTTCTCTACAGTGACCACAGATTTATATCAGAGAGAACACTGACACGCATGTCTGTACCTAAGAGACTTCCTGCCCTGTTCTGGAAAAAAACAAAAAAGCCTTACCACTCAGCACCGGCTTTTCAGCCCAACACATAGACAACCCTCATGGTTTTATTTGCAACACTTGCCAAAGCTTCTTAGTCTTTATTTCTACAATCTCCTCAAATATCTCCTCTAAGCCCTTAAACCAAACCAACCAACATGACACTGTACAATCAGCTGCTCAGGTGACTAAGCAAAGCCCAAAGTGCCCACAGTTCTCTGAAAGTCAGTCATGCAGTCTCCAAACACAATGGAGCTCCATGAAAACAGGTCTCAAGAGTTTTCATGAGGAAAGTGCTGATATACCTTCCTTATGAAAAATGAACATCAAAGAAAATGAATAGTCAATACTGACCTTGAACAATCCACAAAAAAAAAATCTTTCCCTTGACCACTAATGGCTACATCAAGTTACTTATGTGACTTTTTCTGGGGAGGAGGGAGAAGGGGTTAGAGCCTGAGGAGCAAAATGACTGTTTCCCACACAAAGTCTGCAACACAATGTTCACCTCTGAAGCAGGAGCAACTTCTTCACCAACTCAAGTATTTACACACAAAATGGGCATCAGCTACCCCTTGAATGCACTTTATTTTTTTTGAGACAGTCTTGCCATGTAGTTCAGACTAGCCTTGAATTCACTATGCAGCCCAGGCTGGCCCCCAACTCAGCAATTCTTCAGGCTCAGCCTCGTGAGTGCTGGGATTTATAGGCACGTGCCCCATGCCTGGTTAATGCACTTAATTTTGATTCTAGAGTTTACTGAAATATAGCCTAGCTCTTGCTCACCAACTTTTGTTTTTTTTAATAACTACATTTTTAAACTCCAGTACACAAAGTTCACTTTGGCTTACCTGTTATCTGCCATCTGAATGCTTTTATCCCCTACAAATTAAAAAAGAGTTACAATTATATTCACAAACAAAACCATTTATGTAGATGTATTTTTTTTTTTTTTTTTTGGTAAATGTATTCTTCAACACTGACCATGTGGAGGATGGAAATACACTAGAAGGGGCAGGATGGAGCTTTCTGGGGTGAACTTAACTTCCCAGGTCTTGCCTAATGTTACTTGTGTACAGTTATCACAACTTATTAAATGTTGTTATATCTATAACCTGTACCATTATGAGAAAAATTTTACTCATAAAATTTCTGTCAGCCCTAAAATAACCAGATTTCACAATAACAATCAATTCTAATTTGTGTTACCTCATCATAAATTTAGCAACAGAACATTTAATAATGCTAATCCAGTTATTTTAGAGCAATTCAAAGCAGTCACTGTTTACAATGTCTCCCAAACTTATCCACAGGTGATATTCTACTTTTGCTTGCTCATTTTTTAATCTTTTATTACCTCTATGCTGAAGATGTACTACTGTAAAAAAAAAAAAAAATTATGTAATACACTCAGTATAATCCCATTTTTATAAGACATTTTAAAAATGATTATCTCTGGTGGTAATTAGGCAACTTTCTACATATGAATAGTAAAGATGGACTCTAGGGTGTTTTTTAACAAATGTACCAGTTATTTAATTAGGTTCTTAGTGCCTTCTTAATGGAAGAACTTGACAACACCAAATTAAAAACCCTGATCTCAATGCATTCAAGGTAACACCTAAATACACTACTTAAAAGAGCCTTCCATGTGCAATGAAACTGAGGTAGGTTATGAAGTTCTTTATACTTATGCAGGAGACACACTACAGCACTTTTGTGAAGACTGCTGTTCCAGTTGAAACCTGGCTACTGTCTCATTCCCAGGGACCTAAGCAAAGCCCAAACCAGTCACCCATAAAGCTTTAAGGAAATACAGAACAAGAAACTTGTATTTGTGAAAAATAGCTCCAATTAGAATTTATGATCCGTGAGTTGGGTGTGGTGGCATACACCTGCAAACCTAGCACTTGGGAGGCTGAAGTAGAAGAATCAAGAGTTTGAGGCCAGACTGTACTATACAGCAAGACCCTGCCTGCCCTTACCCCTCAAAACACACCACAAGAATAACAAAAGTGTATTCTACAATTATTTTGTATTTAACTGAAGTGCATTTTCTTTTATATTAGATTTTTTAATATTTCAAAATATGCAAAAATACTACAGAAGTACTATATTGTCTTTTTCATAAGACAATTACTTTTTTTTTTAAAGACAATTACTTAAACAGAAAAAAAAAAAAGCAACAAACCCTACCACAGCTGGCCACACTCACACCACCACCACAGCAGCCAAACCTAGTATCATCTCAGTGAGGTTTTTAAAACCCTCCAATTGTAAACAAATTCCAATTTGTTTAAAAAATAAAAACCCTTCAAAGGTCCCCATCACTGTCTGCAGAGTTCAAATTCATTCCACATAGGATCCAAATTCTTATACTCTCTAGCCTGCCCACCTCACCACTGTACTTCCAACTCACGTTCCTTCTGTCATATCTGCTGTAATCATGGGTTCCCAAGTTGACAATGTGCTTTTTTTCTCACACTGTAAATGTAAGTAATGAGATGGGTAGATCTTTATAACTACGTTTGATGACAAAAGTCTAAAAGTGAACACACCATTTATTGTTTGGGAAATACTGAGAGTCTTCTACCACATACTTTTGGGAATGGAATCTATGAACATCTCAGTTTAATAAGGCTTCCCACCCCCTTAGTTATTCTTTAATTTTTTTTTTCCCCCATACCGGGAATCGAACTCATGACCTTGCACTTGCCAGGCAGGCGCTTTGCCACTGAGCTAAATCCCCAGCCCCTATTCTTTAATTTATATGGCAACAGTAAGAATGCCATGCTAGCATTTCTTGGTCAAAGTGTGTGAGCGGATCCTGCTACACACTGCCAAACTGTTTTCACACTGGTATTACCTACAGTTTGGCTACAAAATAGAAACTCTCCAGTGCCTAACATACACCTACTAGCACCTTCCCAAGACGATACACACTGTTCGCTAAAGGACCCCACTATCCTGCCAGTGAAAGTAGCTATCATTGCCTGTTCAATGAACACTCATTTTCACCAACCAATCCATACTATCAATAAGGTCACACCTTAATTTCCAACACTTCCTAACCAATGTACTAAGCACTGTTCTATATTCCCATCAGCTCAACCAAGGAGGCCGCATCCTCAGTTTATAAGTGAGGAAGCTGAGAGCTCTAATCCACGGTCACATGGCTAGGAAGATGTGGAATTGGGTCCCAAATCCAGATCCTTCTAACATCTCTGTACTGCCACTAACCACTTCACCTTTTGCTGCTTCTACTTGCTCAATCAACAATTCTGCTACTAGCTCAGTTAGGGTTAGAATCCTGCTGTTTTGGCCGCAGTCCCAAGAAGTTCAGTTATGTCTAAAAGGAATGAAGCTGGGTATTGTGGTATAAACCTGCACTCCCAGCTATTGAAGAAGCTGATGAATTCAAGGCCAGCCTGAGCAACTCAGCAAGAATCCATCTTAAATTTTAAAAATTGTAAAGAAAGAAACAGATAAACAGACAGATGGATGACAGAGGGATGAGAAGGGGAAGGCCGGGGATGGGAGGGAAGCCAAACCAGACAGGCAGGCATGGTGCTGTAGTCTACAATCCCAGCACTTTTGGAGGCTGAGGGAGAAAGACCACAAATTCAAGCCCTGTCTGGGTGTAGCTCAATGTCAGAGCCAGGGGTTCAGTCCCTAGTACCAAAATAAACAAATGCATACATGGGTGAAAACTTTGCCTTTCTATCCTGTTCACTACGCAGCCACAGAATGTTTAACAGTTTCTGCACGGTAAGAATTCTGAATGCACAAAAACCCTATCTCCAGACATAAGCCAAACAGATTCACCTTTCCATATAATGGCACCTACTCTTAACTTCTAGACTCCTCCAATATTCACTTCATTTTCATTGTGTGATATGTGCTGTTTAATACTATATTTTGTGACTTAGTGACAAGACAGTTAAGTAAAACCTGACACAGTGATCACAACCAGGACAACGTGCCAAATCAAGAAAAGACAGAGAAAAACAAAATGAATTAAACAGTGCAAAGGAAAATAATTTTGAGGACTAACAACCAACCAATCAACCCAGAACACAATCCCGAGGCATCGTGAATAATCTTACTCGATCTAGGCTTGAACTTTTTCCACCCCAATTTCCTATCACCTTCCGCACCTCAGTTCCATCGTTCATGAACAAGTGGCATGCAAGTGAGCAGCTGTGAAGGCAACCAAGTGCTGAGCACACAAGTGTACAACATGAGGCCTCGCTACTTCTTGACTAAATACACATACAGGCTACTCTACCTATCACGTTTATGAAGCCACTGCTCACGTAAGGAAAAATAATGTAGAGTGGTGACACATTATAAACAAGATAGATAGTCAAGCTTCAACACCACAAATTATTTACCTTTGTTTAGCAATCCTTCACACTTTTTAAATAGAAAGTTATAAAGAACTATGAAATTTGCAACTTTGGGAAAAACAAACTTCTATTTGTTTTACATGTTGGAATGCCAAGTTTAATGTCAGGTTCATGAAGACACAGTCCCAAGCCTTGTCAGGAAGGCTGCCCACTTTTAAAAGGAATCAAGAAGCTGGGCTCAGTGGCAAATGCCTGTAATAATCTCAGTATCCAGGAGGCTGAGCCAGACGATGGCTACCAGTTTAGGGTCAGCTTGAACCAAACAGTGAGATGCCCTCTCAAACAAAATCAAACCCCAAACAAAGCAACAAAAAGAAATCAAAAGATTTCCCAGTCTACAACAAGGCGGCTGTAGTTAATAACAACATATTGTTGTTGTATGTGAGAATCACTGAGAGGACAGGGAGTGTTCTCAACACTCAAAACATGGTGTGTGAGGAAATGTTTATGTTACTTAACTTGATTTAGCATCCCTCATCTATACTTACTTCAAAACACCACGTGGGGGAGGGGCAGTGGTGTGTGCCTTTAATTCTAGTTACTAGGAGGCTGAAACAGGAAAATGGCAAGTTTGAGGCTGTGTCCAAAGTAAAATTTTATTTTATTTTATTTTATTTATTTTTTTTTTTTTGGTTTTTCTCCGGTACCGGGAACCGAACTCACGACCTTGCGCTTGCCAGGCAGGCGCTTTTTGCCGCTGAGCTAAATCCCCAGCCCCCAAAGTAAAATTTTAGAAAGGGCTGGGGATGTGGTTTGGTGGTAGAGTGCTAACAGGTACAAGGTCCAGGGTTCAATTCCCACTAATGCAAATAAATAGATAAGTAAATAAATAATGCTGTGTACCATAAATAGTTTGTCGATTAAAAATAAATGAAAGGTGGCCAGGTGTGGTGGTTCACACCTGTAATCCCAGCACTCCAAAAGCTAAGACAGAAGGATTGGTGTGAGTTCAAGGCCTGCCTGGGCACTACATGTCAGAACCCTGTCTCAAACAACAACAAAACAGAAATAAGTAACTAAATGGGAATCAAGTTAGAATACGGAAAGGATACCAGGCAAAAAATATTCTAAATTTTCAAAAGAATGTAGCAGTTCGGGTTCACTCCCAGGGTCAATGTGCTGCTTTTATTGATGCAAGACTCCACAACAATTCTATTTATAGATTAATTTCCATTTACACCAAAGAAACTGTTTTCATGGGGGAAAACTTTTTTTTTTCTAGTTTGCAGCAAATTCTGCAATATAATTTAAAATTCCTAAATTTCTGTTTGGGGGACAGATTCTTGCTATGTAGTTCAGGCTGGTCTAGAACTTACTTTGTAGCACAGGATGGCCTCAAACTTGCAGTGATCCTCCTGCCTCAGCCCCTCAAATGCTGGGATTACAGGTGTGCACCACCAGACCCAGCAAAATTCCTAATTTTTTAACTAAAAACATTTGGTCTATAGCTAATTTAACTACATAATTTCAAATTGACCCACTTTTAGAGACAAAGGCATAAGTGAGGCACTGGGCTCACATTTCATCAAACATTTTTTTTTTTTTAACACCTAAGTTTTTATATCTGTATCATCTTCACTAATTTAAAGGTCTTCAATGCCTTTACAAGGTATAACCAAACGAAAAGTGGGTATGGTGGTACATGCCCATAATCCCAGCACTTGGTAAGGCTGAGGCAGGAGAAGCCCAGCCTGAGCTACGTAGTGAGTTTGAGTCCAGTCTCAGCATGTGACTAGACACAAACATTTGGGAGTTTAAAATCCAGTAAAGACCTCCAGACCTCCTTACTTTGTCATGAAGGGAATTCCCCCTCCACCCTATTTCAAATCACAAGTACTCAACACCTCACTCCTCTCTCATTTTTTTCACCAAAGCAACTTCCACTATTTAACTTGCTTGTCTGTTTCCCACAGAAACAACAAGAGCAAGGCCTTTTATCTGTTTGAATTAGTGGGCACCCACAGTACCTAGAATTGTGTCCCACACAGATAAGGCTCATGAATGAGTGAATGCGTGAATGAGTAAATAAGTAGATACAATAAGCACTGAAAGCTACTCTGCAATAACTGAGTAAATGACTACTATTTTACATTGTACACTGCACATAAAGTAAAATGTCCATCTTTCTACTAAAAACTACTAAAGAGAAATCACCTCACAATGTTTTTGAACAAGCTTTTCCCCTGGACACAGGATGGAAGCACATTTAGTTATAAGAGCTGACGGAGTGTTGGGCATGGTGGCACATCTTATAATCCCAACACTCAGAAGGCTGAGGCAGGAGGATTGCCACAATTTCGAGGCCAGCCTGAGCTACATAGCAAGACACTGTCTAAAAAAAAAAGAGCTGACAGTATATTTAAGAGTAAGAGGAAATTGAAGACTACACTGCAAGCAGTCAAGATCAAAAAGGAATGTTCACAAAGCCACCTTTTGTAGTTTTCATACTACAAAAACTTCTACTAATCACAAAATTTAATATTCAATAGCAAACCAATTGTCTTCCTCTTTAGTAGGAGGGATGGAAAAACCAATGACTGCTACATGAAAACAAATCCATATCTTCACAAACATTTCTTTAAAAATGTCTTTAACAAACACAAACCACTACCCAATAAGTATCTAACATGTATGCTCAAAGACATATCTCACAATTCAAGTTCAAGGAGGCTTGAATTTGCTAACCAGAGATACTATGTATAGTAAGCTAAGCAGAAGTTGGAAAGGAGTGGTTTCTTGCAATTTTGCATCAGCTACTTCCCATCCCCAAGTGGCAGAAGAGTCAAACTAAAATCTGTCTTTTATTCTGGACGCCGAAACTACACAGCTTTTTTCTTTTTTTGGTACTGGGGACTGAACCCAGGGCATGACATTGAACTACACTATATTTCCAGCTCCTTTCAATTTTGAAATGAGGTCTAAATTGCCTAAACTGAGCTTGAATTTACAACACTCTTGACTAGTCTCCCAGACTGCTGGGATTACAAGCACGAGCCACCATGACAGACTGACCCAGAGAGCCCTTTCATTTTGAGACAGGATCTTGCTAAATTGCCCAGGCAAGCCTTGAACTTGCTATCCTCCTGCCTCAGCCTCTGGATTTTTTGGGATCACAGACAGGTGCCAATTTCCTTTTACACGAAAAAGTGCTCCTTGGCTAATAAGCCTGGGCTAAAATCAACAAGCTCATTGTTGCTAGCTTATTATTCAGGCTTAGGCCATCACTGGAAGGACTGCATCGAAGCAGCATCCTTCTATTGCATTTCATGTAGCTGATGGCCCCTGGGCCTTCAGAATTTAAATGAGTCTTGCCCAGAAGATTTTTTTTCTCCCCCTAAATTTTAGGTTCTCTGGCAAAATTTTTGGAAGAACAATGCAAATTTACTACAACAGGTCTTAAACTGCACACACCAAAGGAAAAAAAAAAGCGCCTCTAAAAAATAATTCCAGCCAGGTGTTGGTGCAGGTAGGAACCTGAATCTCAGCATTCTGGGACGCTGAGGCAGATGGATTATGAGTTCAAACTTACCCTGTGTAGAAAAATTTTATTCAATATTCCACAGGTAAGTCTGATCATCTAAAGGGCTGTTCACAAAGCCATTATATTCCTTGTGTTCTGAAGACAAAATTATGAAACACAATGTACCCCTTCTGGAAATCAAGTGATCAGGTTATCAAACCCATAAATGATAAAATTGGCTATTGCAAAGAATTCAACCAATTCCTCCAATTACTATTTGTACAGTACAGTACAGGATTCAAAGCTAATAAAATCTAACAATGTCACAAACAGCAGACCTTCCAAACCAGTAATACTGATCAGGAAAAAAAAAGAATGCAAATGATATACAACAACAGCTCTCTAAGACAGCAGTAAAGTGTTTAAATGATGCATGAAATCGTACAGAGCACTCAGCATTCCCAGGGATAAGGGAATTGTACAATTAAAAGGTCATCCAACCCAAGTCCTTAAAAGCAAAAGTTCACTTAGGCTCAAGGCAATAAAGATAATGTAATTTCCCATTAAACGCTTTTTTTGAGACAGGGTCTTGCTATGTAGTCCAGGCTGGCCTCGAACTCAGGGGGATCCTTCTGCCTCAGCCTCCTGAGTGCTAGGATTATAGGCCAGGCGTGCACCCCCACGCCCGGCCCATTCAAACTTTGAATTCCCTCGGAAGCAGCAGGATATCTGGACAAAATTAAAACTATAAGGGTTTTAATCCAAGCCCTGTTGCCTTAGATAACTCATTATACTCAACATCAAAGGTCCTTAGTTTCCCCAGTAGGGAAGTAATACAACCTGAGAATCCCTATTCCAAAAATCACAAAACACTCTAAAATCTGTAATTTTTTGAGCACTGTATGTTTGTCAGATTTTGAATTTCCAGATTAGGGAAGCTCATTTGGTAAATCCATGTAAATATTTCAAAATTTGAAAAACTCCAAAATCTGAAACACCTTTGGTCCCAAGCATTTCAGGTAAGTGGTAGGTACTTAAACTGTAGTATCTCACAGATTATTATATAAAATAAGTTAATTCATGCAGAGAGCTTAGAAGAGCCCCTGGTGTGTAGGAAGCAGTTAGTCATTCACGAGTACAGTTACTACTGCAGGAGAGTAGTAACTTAAAAAATACTGTACTTAACTTTTTAAGGCCAACTACTTAATCTCCATACTTGGACATTTTTAATGCATGACAATTACCCCAGGCTTGTTTTTATACCGTATACCTACGTGCAGGAATATGGAAGACTCATTTCAAAAGGTAACAGCACGGTACATGAGAAAAAGCACAGACCTATCTACCCCAAGGATTCCTCTGAGAGAGGAGAGATGCTCAAGAAGCCGCAAAGACCTCCAACACACGATCAGACACACGTTAGAGCCCTAAGGGTCTAACGCTGGAATCTGTATTACCAGACACTGAACATGGTCTGTCACCTAATCAGGCTTAGATCGAGAACCGTGGACCGTAGAAAGTCTTATCGTGACCAGGCAGTGCTCTGCTAGGACCAACAAAAAAGCCTTTAGAAAACAAGGGAGGGATTAGGGAAATACCAAGAAACTCTACCGGCAAAAACACACATGGGACTCCGACCCCCCGAACTGCGAGAAACGCAGGGAACTTTCCCTACCCATAACAAGTGCAGACCACTAAATTCTTCCATCTCTTCTGCAAGCGGGTTTTAACAGTAAAACTAGCTTGAGGCCCACCTTGCCTGGGTACTTAAATCTCCCCAGGCCATCCCTTCAACACCCCTTAACCCAAGTCCTTCGTCCTGGGAGCCGGCCGGGCTCCGCGCTTTCGCTGCACTGAGGGTTTTTCTCCCTCTGCCACCCCGACTTTAGAAGCCGAAGCCCACCGTCACCCGTCGCGCCGCGGGGGCTCACGACGCGTCACTACAGGACCCACCGCCCCGTTCGTCGGGTTCGAGCGCTCCGCGCGGCGTCCAGCTCCACGTGCGCGCGGGAGGGCGGCGAGGAGGCCGCGGCGCGAACAAAGCGCGGCTGACCTTCAGCTGGGGGCGGAGCGGGCGGAGGGAAAGGGAGGGGACGCCGCCCGCCGCCGCCCGCGGCCCAGCCCGCTGCCGCTCGCTGAGGACGCCGCCCCGCCCCTGTCGGTGCCCCGGCCTATCACGCCCCAGACAGCCCCCAGCAGCCCCTCCAGTCCCCCCTCCCGCCTAGCCCCCTCCCTGTTCCTCTGCCCAGTGCACCGTTAGCCGCTGGCACCGCGCGTTCCGCACCTCGCGCCTCCTGCGGCAGTGGCAGCCGTACCTCCGCTCGCTCCAGGGCTGCGCCGCCGTGGCCGCCAACAACACTACCTCCCACTGGCTGAGCCGCCTGGCTCCACCCTCTGCGAGCAATACGGGTTGCGATTGGGCGAGAGCGGCGCAAGTCAACAACGATTCGGCGCCGTGGTCAGAGTCCAATCAGGAGCCGCTGGGGGTCCGCCGCGCCGCTTGCGGAAGCCATATGCAAATTATTGTAATGTCTCGCTCTGCTGCGCGAAGTGTTCTGTGCCTCCTTAAAGGGGCCTGTGCCGCGCGGTGCGGTGAACTTTGGCTCGGCACGTGGGGAAGCGTGTTGTCCTCCGTGCGGCGCCGCTCTTACAACTTGCTGCGCTGGTGCGTTAGGGTGGCTGTTTCCCGCTGTGGGACGGAGCCTCCAAACGTGCGCTTTGGCTTCGCCCCAGCCCGAGTTTAGTTTACTTCGGACCTCAAACCTCCGGTACCTGCCATACCCTAAATCACCACCTGTGCATCCTGCACCCGAGCGCCCTCCGCCCGGCCTTTTCCACCCTCCACCATGTGCCCTAGGGCAGCAGAAGAAATTAGGGCTCACTCTTCCACGCTCGTGACTTCCCATCACCCCCCATCCCCGGTCCCGCGATGTCTCAGCAGTCTAGACCGGGGCAGGAGCGGCCCCGCTGTCTCTCCCTGGAAGGGTTCCCTCCACCTACTCTGGGGCCCCAGCCTCCTGTCACATTTGATAGAAAAGCATTGGATTTAGCTGGAAGATCAGATCTCCCAGGTGGAGCTCCTGAGGCTGCTCATTTCCAAGCTCAAAGGCACCATGTAGGTCTTTGACTTTATATTTCTTTAGAAACGTTGCCTGTCTCTGGCTGAGGTTGCTTCTGAAACAATTGCTAATTGATATTTTTAAGGAAATTATTCCCGTTCTATATTCAGTTTATAGTGGGGATTAGTTTAAAGCTTCCCTGAGTGACTGGTGGCCCGTAGCCGGCGTGTGCCCGGAGGCATGCCCCACACAGTGAACTTCCGTATGTATACCAGCCTCAAGGCTCTGGCTCAAGTTTACAAACTTCGGAGTTGAAGTCATGAACCGAAGGAGGGGGTTAGGAGAGTTTTTATTGGAAGTAAGAGGAAGACCAGCTCCTGGATTTCTGGGAAGGGGTCCTGAGTGGGTTGCCACTGAGGCCCCTAAGTCTAGAGTCACATATAGGTAAGCAGGGCGCAGGAATTGTTTAGTGGACACGTATCGCAGATGGCTGTATAAAGTTTGTTTTTTTTTTTAAGGGACCATTGGAACTCAGACCCTCTAGCTCAATTCTTTCACATAGTGTTCATGGTGAACTGGGATCTTAGAAAGAAACTAGTTATTTTGCATTATAATTTTCTCAGAACTCAGGACCTTAGTAGGCGGTGGCTGCCTCTCTTAACTGCTGTTAAGGGATAATAGGCAGCACTAAATCTAACTGCTTCAGGCTGAAAGGGGTCCATGTAGTGGGGACAGCAGTCAGGGACTTTTTCCAGAGAGCTAATCTAAGGAGGCTATTATGGTTGGTACAGTGTGTCCGCTTAGAAAGTGTAGGCTCTTCACTAACTCAGCAGTTCTAACTCACGGCGTAGAGGACATGCCCATAGGGCTCTAGGATGTTTTTCATTGTGTCAACTTGAGAAATTTAGAAGTTTAACTAAGTGATTCAACAGGGGACCAGGGTCCTCACTTTGTAAACATCCTTATCCTGTGCAAGAGGAGAGTAAGGCGATGGTGTGAGCGCTACACCTGCGGAGGGTGGCGGGAGCCTCCTTATATAAGGTAGGAAAAGAGGTTTGTTCCCTCCTTTTGCCCTTGTTGCTTTTGCTGTCTTGAACTGTTGTCTCTGTGTCATGCCACTGTGCCTTGGAGCCTGATGATTATGGGCTGAAACCTCTCCAGACTGTGAGCTAAATAAACCTTTCCCTCTTTAATTTGAGTGTCAGGTATTTTGTCTCAGCAAGGAGAGAAAAGTAACCAAGACAGAGGCTTTGATAGATACCATATTGGAGTTCAGCAGTTGCGAACTCTCTTAAGATGGTTGATTTAATGGACTGCAGTAGAGGGAGTCTGGCAGGTTCATTGTAGGTGTATCTGTATGACCGTTTGGAATTTGACAGCCTCTAGGTGAGAGGAAACATATTTTATGAAGAAATTAAGAATTCATGGCCCAAACATACAAACCAGAATAGAAAGACAACTTGGGAGAAGGAACCAAGTTTGGACAATATTTTTAAGGGATTTGAATAGGGACTATAACTAGCTGGATCCTAGGCCTGTCTGTTCATCTGTTTTTCAATTGTTTTAAGATCTTTTTTCACCGGATGTGAATTATTTATCTGAAGACAAATTTCAAAGGCCCTCCAATTTTAACTGTAATTTTCACTGTAATAAGACGAGGAACTCTGTGATTTTTAAGAACAGTTTTAGCTAAGGACTCTTGCTGAGCTTCTGTAGCTATCATTGGGGCTTTTTAGCCTCAATGAACCATAATAGTTGTCAGCGACAGGTAGCTGGAAACTGCCAGCAGGGGCCAGTGTAGTAGTTGGAGCTTCCTTTTTTTATAATGTATCATTTTGGTTGCACGCTTTTGCTGGGTGTTGAAGACTGAGTTAAAGTAAGACTTGTATTAATCAAAATCAACTTTTCACTCTATATATCAAGGTCAGTTAAGGTTCCTCAGGAGTTACTTTTGGGATCGTGTATAGAAGCTCTTAGCTCCTCTGTTAGTGTCACCTGTCAGGGTGGGGCACAGTCTTGATGACCTTGTGGTTTCCTGTGGAAGCATGGAAGACATTTCTTTGGTGACCCTCCTTTTTAGTACACTGTATGTTGGTTGACTCAGAAGATTGGATTATTCACCAGAGATGTAGGATCTTGTAGACAGGTGTCCTCATGTCCTGGGTCCTTGTTAATTTTGGAGGGCCAGGAACACAATACTGATTGTCTTCTTAGCCCAGTTATTTTTTTTAGCTTTGGTCTCCAAACCTCAGGTATTGAACATCCAAGAGATCAGTGACACCACTATTGCAGTGGGGCAGTAAGTTTAGCTATCAAAATCTTATTTGGATATCAAGAACCTTGAGTTATATAGTATGACCAGAGAACTATTATTTTTTTCAATCATGGTTGTTTTAGAAGTAAAATTCCTGTAGAATGTTAACAGATAACAATTATAGAGTTTTATGGAGAACATTTGAGATCAAGTGGAATGTAGCATTTTTTGTTTCTTTTTTTGTTTGTTTGCTTATTTGTTTTGAGACAGGATCTTGCTGTGTAGTTCAGACTTGCCTTGATCTCACTGTGTAACCCAGGCTGGCCTCGAATTCATGGCAATCCTCCTGACTCAGCCTCCCAAGTGCTGGGATTATAGGTATGCACCACCACATCCAGCTAACATTAGCATTTTAGCATGACAATCATTATTATATTAGAACTATTAGGTTTTGTTATTATCTCTGAAACACATTTAAATTTCCATTTTAGTATAAAATAATTTTTTAGTCAGTTACCTTTATCTAATTTTTTTTTTTAACTGGAAGTCAAACCCAGGACCTCATGCTTACCAGGTAGCTGCCATACTGCTGAGCTATATCCCCAGGCCACCTTTATCTAATTATAAGACATTAAATGACATAAAGAATTTTTTACCGTAATTTGGAGAAAAAAGATAAACAGGTTAATAGGACAGTTAAAGTAGTGATACATTAGTTGTTACAATAGTTGATAGATTTCCAGTTTTGAAACAGGTTAGTAGGACAGTTACAATAGTTGATACATTGCATATTGTTGTCTTTGCATTAGTTAATCAGAGTACAAGATATAGGCATGATATCTTGTCTAAACAATATTAACACAAAGCATTCTTTTTTTTTTTTTTTTTTGGTTTTTCTCCGGTACCAGGAACCGAACTCACGATCTTGCGCTTGCCAGGCAGGCGCTTTGCCGCTGAGCTAAATCCCCAGCCCCCAAAGCATTCTTTTCAAGGAACTAAAAGAAGTTAGCTGTAAAACTATCTTAACTATCTTGTGTATTTATATAATTTTTTATTTTTCTTTTCTTCTTTAATAGAATGCCATTTTTAAGTAGAATGTTTATAGATGTATTCTATAGATTATTTCTGTCTAGTTTTTAATCTTTTTTGTTTGTTTGTTTTTGTTTTTTTTCCAGTACCGGGAATCAAACTCCCGACCTCACGCCTGCCAGGCAGGCGCTGAGCCGCTGAGCTAAATCCCCAGCCCCCTAGTTTTTAATCTTCATAATGACATTGTGTGGCCTGCACAGTGTTTAGGTACCTTTAACTTTTCAATATAATTACATAACAGTCACACAAGTATTAGCCTGAAAAAGTATTTGTATCATCTGTTGACTATATCATGTTGGATGGGCATGCACATTACATTATAAGTAGTTGGAACACAAGTAATCATCATATGTTGCCTTTGGTGAGAGTGGGGAGGGCTAGAGAGAGGAAAAGAATCTATAAAAGAACTTGAGCATTTTGAAGTTTGTGGGTCCCTCCTTTTATTTAATAGTCTTAAGTCTACTTGTCATCATTGGGGCTGACTGTGGCTGGGTAATGGAGATTGGTGTGGGTGACACTGAGATGGGCAGACCTTGGCTTATGGCTGCATTGTTCTCATCTCTGCCTCTGTCTTCACACAGCCTTCCCTTACGTGTCCGTGTATGTCCTCTCTTCTTTTTGTTTTTTTTTTTTGTTGTTGTTTTTGGTTTTTCTCTGGTACCGGGAACCGAACTCACGACCTTGCGCTTGCCAGACAGGCGCT